AAAAAAAAGATGGAGATATATATATATATATATATATCGCCACCAGTTTAATGATCTGCGCTGTAGTATTGGTTCAAGAACTCCCGTAGTACGTCCTTAACGATGCTGCGATCGCTGACTCGCTGCTGCGAACCATAAACAGTCCCTCCTGTCTCGCCTCTTTTTACGCTTTTACCTTCCTCCTCCGCCTGCTTCACTGCGCCGTACATCTCATCACCGACGCTCGTGACGTCTCGAATGAAGCGGTCCGCCACTCCCTCCTGCGTCTGCAGCAGTGTCACGGAAAACTGAAGACCAGAAGGAAACTGAAGCCGGTTGAGCTCCCAACCACGCTCACCTAGGCGGTCACCCAAGACGTAAATGTCAACGTAGTCGCTATTAAAAGCAAACACAGAGGTGATAGGATCTCCCAGAATGGTAATATAAGGCAACTTGCGAAGTGCAGACGTGATTTTCATACGTGCTTCCACAATTTTATGACAATTCCTCACGTAGCCCTCTTCTCCCATGCGAATCATAGCTGCCCATGCTCCCGCAATGACATTACCGGGCTTGGAGCCACTCACGGCAGGGGAACAGTAAATGCCACCTGGCCAGTCTGCCACGCAGCAGAACTGGAACGAACGCAGCTCCTTTGTTCTGTACAGGATAGTTGATGTGCCTTTGGGGGCGTATCCATACTTGTGTGTATCACAACTGATTGTCGTGACACCGGGGAGACGAAAGTCGACAATGGGAACGGGGAAACCGGCCCTTTCCATAAAAGGCACAATAAAACCACCCAAACAGCAGTCTACATGAAGACCAATTTCATGACGGCATGCCACTTCAGACAATTCACTAATAGGATCCAACACACCATGGGGAAAGGTTGGTGCAGACCCAACAATGGCCACAGTATTGTGTTTTATGTGCTTTTCCACTTCCTTTGCATCAACTCTCTGCGTCACCGGATCGACCGGAATTTTTATCAGCGTAATTCCAAAATATTCAGCTGCCTTGTCAAAGGCCGGATGCGCAGTGACGCCCACAACAACCGAGGGATGTTCAATACCTCGCCTGGCGCGTCCCCAGTCGCGATACGAGCGCAGCGCCATCAGAATGCTTTCTGTGCCACCGGAGGTGAGGGTGCCACAAGCATCTGGGAGCAAATGCCCATTGAACATGTGGACCACCATTGACACCACCTCCGCCTCCATCTTGCGTGTGGCACCAAAGACGTCAGAGTGGAGTGGGTTACTCCACTGAAATACTTCCATGACGCGGTTAATCAGCTCAGTGTGCGCGGCCCCCCCATGGTACACGGCTCCACTCAAGCCACCCGCCTCGTACGGCTTATCAAGGTCTTCGTGAAGCGTATGCACAATACGGAGAACGTTCTCATCTGTTGTAGACTTCTCTGGCAGTTTTTTCGCCTTGAATTCGCCTTCCTTCGCCGGCATTTTAAACATCTTGGCGGTCTTCTTCACCTCTTTTTGAATGACGGGGGCGGCAACGGCACGCACAATGCGCCACTTCGCCAAGTTGAAACGCTTGACCAGGAATCCGTCGCTGAGAATGCCTGCCAGCAGCTTGGCGGCCAAAAGGGCGGCGACCGAGATGTAGACCACATCGGATGGGCGCCTCCCTTGCAGAGTATGGTCAAGTAACGTTGACAGTGTCATGAAGCGGGGATCGTGGAGGCACTCCCATGCTACGAAGCAGAAACATGAGGGGAAGCAGAGGCACGTAAAGGTATATGTTAGACGTCGACGCCACGTGCGGCAAACACGCAAACACGCACACCCCTACGTGCATTCGCCTCTCCACGCAGGAAGAGGAAATGGTAGTAAGACTCATCTGCCTCCCTCTTGAGGTCTTCCTTTCGCACCCGCACTGGGGGGTGAAACCGGGGGAAAAATCTAACTGCCTCACGTCTTGGACGGGCGGTGAACGGGCACGACGCAGCGCCAACGCCCGGTGGACACGCCAAAGATACAACAATATTTTGAAGTGAGTCAATAAATACGCCGAAAAAAACAACAACAACAAAAAGGAAAGCAATACCATTTTCACGTGCCTTTTTTTATTCCCTTCTCTCTCTCTCTCTCTGTCTGTCTCCTGCTGGGCCAAATGAAACGTCGCGAGGTGAAGCCTCCTCAGCCGACTGCCACGTTCAACGCGCCGCCGATATTCAAAAATCCTTCCCTTCTATTTCACCTTGTTGCCACGTCATGCATCATGATGCACAGATGTATGCGCCAAAAACCAACCAAGCAACAATAACAACAACAAAGCACACACACACATATAGCCAAGTTATCTTTTTCTCCTCCTTCCTTTGCTCAACTCATCAAGACAAGACTGTCAACGCTTCTCCAGGATAAAAAATAAAACACGCTGCTATGCGGGGATGCAAGTCAGTGAGAATGATGCCGCAATCCTCTCCATTCAAGGCGAGGCCCAAGGTCCTCTCTCGCACCTCGTATGTAAAGCAAAGCACATCGCCGTTGCGGCACACAGGCAGTTGCTGAAGAAGAGGGTTGAGGTGACCAATGTGCCCGTCGACCACACCGCTCCTCGTAGGGCACCAGTAGAAACCCTCTGGAATGGCAGTGGCGTCTGTCTTCTCCACAACGCCAAGGAACGACTCTGCGATGGACTCCAGGCGTACCCGCCATGTAACGCGGCCCCCATCCTCAGGAAATAAGCGAGCAACGGTTTCCAAAAGCTCCTTGCTTCGCACACCTATTTGCGTCACTCCACCTCCACCTCCGCCACGCGCAACGCAGCGCAGCAGAACACCGTCACTTTTCGCTGTGGCCTCCACGTCATCGTCCAGAGGAAATGTGAGACGCAGCGGTGCTTCTGGCGGCAATGCGACTCCCGCACGGAGGCGCCGGTTGCCATTCACGGCCTCGCCAGATTGACGCGTCGTCACTCCGCCCGCAGAAGTCCCGTTAGTCATCATCCGCTCCACAGGGTCGGTGCTCTGCGGCTCCGCGGCACGCACAGTTTGCAGGTCCAACTGGAGATCCAGCCCCGAAATCACCATATCTCCGAGGTTGGAGACCCTAAACCCACTGCCCAACACAGCCGGGGCCTCGGTCTTGAGAAAGCTATAGAGAAGGGAGCGGCTCTCCAGTACCTCGTAGTCGGAGCCGCCCTGCTGTATGTGTCGAAAGCGTAGCATGGCCTCATTCAGCGCGTTGAGCTTCATCAAAAACAATTTACGCGACGATACGAGTGAGGCATCACCCGACTCCCTCAAAGACGCAAGTAACTTGCGTAGTTCTACTTCGCGCTGCAACAGCTGTTGCTTGAAGTGCTCAAAACGTTCCGTGAGAAGGTTTTCAACGTTATCGTAGGAAGCAAAGTATTGTGCCGTCACACGATTAAGTTCACTGGCTTGACTTTCAAGACGCATCTTTTTCTCAGTGATCAAACCCATGTCTCGCGACAGCTGTTGCCGGACATCGGCCGCTGCCCGTGCAACGCTGGTGTTATCATGGTTTTTGTGCGGTCCGACTTGCAGGCAATACGCACAGCACATTTCCTCGCACGGCGAACAGTAAAACTCGGCACGGTACTCTTCATGGCCGCGAATGTGACACTTTTTATGTATCCCTCGCAGTTTTTGTTGGTCCCCAATTTTTCCTGTCACGTGACCACGCTTCGCAGCGCTCTTGTGAACTGCCGCGTTGCAATCGCTGCAGTAGACAAACATGCATTCATTGCAGTGCACTACCGCTGGAACCTCTTCACACCACTGGCACATATCTTGGCCATCCGCCCCGTTTGCAATCCTCTTCACATGATTTGCGAGGGTTGCGTCAGAAAAATTCTCCAGGTTTCGCAGCGATACCGCGGGGTAGAACAGAGTACAGAGAGGACAGGCAAAACCGTTGCTGCTTTGCGTCTCTAGCTTGGCCCGCACGCAGTCGGCGCAGTAACTGTGCTGACAATCAAACGTGAGCGGGTGATTAAGAACGTTAAAACAAAGCCCGCATGTGACGCCGCGAGGCTCTTCAAGTTTGACAACAACGTCAGTTGTCATGAGAACAACCCTCTACACTGCACCCCACCCTTCTACCCACGTCCCCGCCAAACTGCAATGCAGACATTAAAGACAAAGGAAAAAAAACCCAAGACACTTTGAAGCATGGGCACAAACAGATGGCCGTCAATAAGGCAGAAAAAGGGTGACACACACGCAGAGGCATCAAAAATAATAATAATAATAATAACGCCTTAACAGACAGCCAAAACATGGATTCCCTGTGAGTGCCTATGCATCTGGAGGGGAATGAGCGGATATTCTGCCGGTGGTGAGAGAGAAGAGCAACATGAAGAGCAGACGTCGGCTGCAAGCCTGTGTGCGACCCCGTTGACAGAGAAGGCAAAGAAACAAAAGAAGGAGAGTTTAAGCATGAACACTCCTCTACCTACCTCTTTCTGCAACCTCGCTTCCTTGGCCTGCCCCGATCCCTTTCCCTCCCTCTCTCAAAAGAGTACCAAAACAAGATCAAATTCCCCTACACCAGAGAGAAATGTCACAGGAGTGACACACATGAATCAGTCACACACCGTAACAGACACTGTAAGAGAGAGGGAGCTACATGCCGAGTGAACTCCGGCTACAACTATTGTTATGGTTTTCCCCTCCCCCCCCCCCTTTCTTCTTGGCCTTTTCTTGTTCTTGTTTTATTTACTTCTCATAGGTGGCGCTGCGAGTATTTTCTTTCAAAGCCAATTCAACCGGCTCTCGCCCGCCTGACAAATAATAGTTGCAATAAAACGGGCATCAACAACGCAGCTGTAGTGGTGCCCTCTTTCTCCGGATTTCCCTCATGTTGGATGTAGAGAAACTATATATGTGTGCGTGTGTGCTACGCGAACGAATAAGCGAGCCACCATTGCCTCCCTGTATCCAGCGTCATACTTCGTCCTTCTATGCATATTTCACATCAAGAGGTGCAGGTGCTTAGAATCCATGTGACGCCTTCCTCTAGACCCATGCCAGTCTTGGCGCTGCATCCCTGGATGTGCCACTTGCGGTCACGAAACTCCTGCAGGTGAAGAGTCTCTGCAATTACTTGTGGCGACTTGGCCGTCGCCAGATCCTGTTTGTTGGCCAGGACCAGAACAGGAACACCCTGGATTCCATTTAACACGTCCACGAACGAGGCGTAGGTCTCCTCGAGGCGGCGGTGGTCAGAAGAATCCACGACGTACATGATGCAGTCGGTGTTGTTGTAGTAGTCCTGCCAGTACTCCCGCAACGCCCGCTGGCCGCCGAGATCGCACAACTTCGCCTTCCGACCAGCGCGCGTCAGGGTCTTCATGTTAAACCCATGCGTTGGCCCCTCCGGCGCCGCGGGTGTGCTGTGGGCCTTTTCGGCCTCGGGGACATCGTTCTCACCCAGTGCGTTTAGCAGCGTTGTCTTCCCTGCGTTGTCAAGCCCCACAATGAGTACGCGCGGCTCATTCTCGCGCCTTACTCGGTTCCGAAGACTTTTTAGCATTGAGGCAGGGTGGCGTGTGCGCGCGGTGACGCGTAATTTCTCTTCCGCAGGGCCACCGCCGCAAAACGCACGCACATGCAGCGAGCGGCAGCGGCAGCAACAAGGAGAAGGAAAAAGGCGAAAAACAATAAAGAGCCAGACAAGCAACGGATGCCGCAGTTGTTTGTTCTTTTTTTTTTATTCTTCATAATCCACAACCAACGCGGGACTGCGCAGCAGAAGGAGGCAGCATAGGCGTTGTGCGAACCACACGGCATTCGCCTCATCTGTACCAGAATCCAGGAGAAAAACAATAGTAATGGCAATAAATAAGTCATTAGTTAAAAAAGAAAGCAAAAAGAAACGAAGAAAAACGCGACAAAACAAAAAAAATATTGGAAAATAGCAAACAAACAAAAACACCCCCCCCAAAAAAAAAAACGTAAGTTTTTGTGATGAAAATGCGGGCCCTTCAGGACGATGGGCGGCAGAATGCACAGACGCCGCTCTTCAAGCATGACTGCAGAAGCTGAGTACTTTGGAGCGCCTGATCGCGCGAGCCAACTGTGTCGGCGAGCCACTGGCCGAGCTCTACAGAGCGGCTCGTCATGTCTGCAACTTCGCGATCTAACGCCGCAATCTGCCTCGCATGATGCAGCTGGAGCTCTGCCAACTCACGTTGCTCCGACTCCAACTGCTCCTTCAAGTGGATGGCGGCGACGTCCTCACCCACCGGTATTGCATGTGCAGCTGCCGGATCGGATTGTTGTGGTGCTGCTCCTGCGGTGAGGCCGGCGGTCCGCAGCGCATGCGTCTCCCTCGCCTCCTTGATGGCTCGTTCAAGTCGCACCTTTTCAGCACACAAACGAACCAATTCAGCGTCAAGCTCTGCGGCACGTTGTTGAATGGGGACCGCCACATCATCCTTCCCCCAGCAGCGCTGCACCTCGTCCAAGTCACGTGCGTGCCCACGCCACGTCGTCGCGAGCGTGCTCGCCTTCTCCAGCTGACCGCGCACGTGTTCGATAAGAAGCGCCTCTTCCACCTCGCTCTGGCGAACAGTGTCCATGCCGGCCATTACCTGCAGCTGCATCTGGCGCTGCTCCTCAAGAAGGTGGTCCAGCTCCTTCTTCAGTTCCGCCGCCCGACCCTCATTCTGTAGACTCTGCTGTTCCAGCTGCTGCTCCTCCTCCGTGGCAAAGGCGAGCCGCGTCTCTGCCTCTTTACGCTTCATCATGACAACACGGCGGCGTGTTTCCACCCCGTTGAGGTGGTCCATCAACGACGACACCGACGACTCCATCGCACAAAAACTCAACTTCAAGCAAGAAACCCAACACCCTCTCCTTGTCTTTTTTTTCCTTTGCTTGTTTGCTTCCTCCTTCCTCTTCCTTTTTATGCGCCTTTGCTTGCCCCTGCAGGAGAGGAAGCGCCGTTTCAAAGCCGGCCACCACGCTCTGCCCCGCTTAAAGCAACAACAGCAACGAAATAACAACAGCGACAGTAACCAATCTGAAGCATGAAAAAATGTCAGAATCGCACATACATACATACATATATTTGCATTAACCCTGATTCAAGACTGTGACCTCCATCAACAGCACCCATCGTAACCCTTTTTTTTTTTTGCCTGTTGTTTGGCTTCTTTGTGTAACACCATCTAAACAAAGGTTGTTTCTTTACTTCTCTCGCTTTACATGGCTGACACGTCTCAGGTGCCGAACTACATCGTATTTTTGGGTGCGTGCTGCAGCAAATCCTTTCAACTTCTTGCCCCCGTAGGAGTTTCCCCCAAGCTCCCTTGGGGCTCCGCGCAGGCCCCCGCATCGAAGTCGGCCTGGATGTCCCTATCCAGCGCCTCGCACTCGCACGCCGTCCAGTATTTAATAAACTGCCCGTTTACCGCCGTGATGGAATGCCTTGCTAGCGCAGGATGCACGCCAGAGACCAACGAGGCAGCCTCAGCTTCCCTCTTGCCATTTTCATCCGCCGCTCCCTCCTCTTCCTTTGCTTCGACGGCGACATTCGCCCCCCCTTTTGGCTCCAGCGGCGACAAGAAACCGGACAGCACCTCGTACGACGCCCAGAGAGATTCGTCACACTGCTCCACGATGCAGGGAAGAAGTTGTTGGCAAATTCGGCGTGCCTCTTCCAGCGAGTTGTCCGGCGACACCACGGAGGTTGTCACATCAAATCGGCATCCAAACAACACACCACGCACCGTGAGGAACAAAAGTTTGCGGTCCAAGAAACACTCCCCTCCAACTGCCTCCTCCACCTCCAGGGAAAAGGGAATGTCCTTGGCCAGGATGGCGGCAATCATAGGTGTCTCCTGCAGCAGTTCACTAAGGCACTCGGCGATGACGCTCTGTGCGATTGTCACCTGTGCGTATGCTCCAGACGGAAAAAGTGCCTCTTCCTCAAGGCACAATTCGTACAAGACACCGGTGGAAACGCACATCACCCCTGCTTGGGATATCTCAACCTTTATCGGGCAGGGGTGGGGTGCAAGGAGGACACTGTACCCATCTAACCGAATGACGGCAGGAGCGCCAGCAGGCGTGGCAATGTGCAGCACGACGCACTCCTTGTCGGATTTCCCTTCTAAAAGAATACTCCCAATACGCAGGTTGGGAAATGTTGCCGTGATTCCAACACACTCCGCTGAAATAGTCGCGTATGCATCTCCTCGAAACCCTACAAACTCAATTGTCCCACTTCCAAATGCTTTCACTTCGGGGCAACGCATGTTTAGATTCAATGAACAAACGATAGGAACCGCATGCAGCCATTCTATGTTCTTCATTTCCGACGAAGCGTTAACCATGTAATCTCCAAGTTGGATTAACCTTGCCAGCTGCAGATTCACCACCTGTAGTGAAAGTGACTCGTATGCACGATCCAGGCGTGCCTGTAGAAAGCGACAAGCGTAGCTGCCACACTTGGGGGCGGTTAGGGTTCCCGCTAACGTAAAGGACGGCTCCACAAACGACTGTGGGGCTTCTCCAGCCACGAGATCAAAGTAAACATTCAGGTTGGAGAGAAAGGCATCTGGAAAACGGCAACGCACGGGCAAATGAGCGCTGGGAGATGTCCCGTGTAGCGATATTCGGTCCTCCAGCTGTTCAAATCTCCCTATAAGACTTAGCTTTAACGGTGGATCCTCAACAGCCCCCTTAAAAAAAGTGTTGTGGGTCACGAACGTCACTCGCTGAGGCCGCTCCCCCACACCACATCCTCCTTGCCCCATCGCCGGCAAGGCCCCGCGCTCGTCATCGATATCGCCCTCCGCTACGAGCTGAACCTCAAACTCAAAGCTCCCAATCGTCAGGCCGGGTATGGCGAGGTTAATACCCTCCCCAGGCAACGTGAAACACACCAGGCCCGTTTTGCTCTGCATTGAAGGTGACGTAAATACCACCTCGGTTTCATATTTCGAAAGGAATTCCTTCGAATAAATCAGTTGAAGGCAGTCAAACAGAGGAGATGGACAGACCGTAAGGGGAATGCGTTGAATAAAGTTCACACCGGGAAGGATTTTAAATGGAAACAAAGCAGGAAATGGGTCTGCGCCGGGTATCGTCAGTTTATATCGGGAATTGAAGGTCACCTGATTAAGGGTAAACACCATCACCATTGGCCGTTCGGTAAATCCGGCGTTGTAAAGAAGTGGAAGTTGTGGAAAATGTTCCGCCGCAATCCAGTTGTTTCGCCCAATATGCACTGTAATAATAACAGAGGCCAGATGCGGACTTAACGGAGGCAGAGAAGAGTCCAACAGAAAATCCATGTTCCTCTGCACCTGCAGGGACATGCTCCACAGGACACTAAGCGAGGCACGCACGTGGTGAAACCCGTAGAAACTTTCCACCAACGTGCCCACCTGATCGTACTTTGGATAAAACCACGACATGTTGTCAGCCGATCGCACGGTGTCACGTGCCAGTAAAAGTGGATGCGACACCAATTGATTTAATTCATCCACATTGCAATTATACTTTTTTGCGGACTTGTAAAGCAGATACATAATGTCATTGCCCAATGGCCGACCAATAGAGATGAATTTGTCTTGCGGCAGTTCCTTATCTTTTCCAGCCTCCTTTGAAATATTGGCCACAAATTTCATAAACTCTCCTCTCAGGCGAACGACACTTTTCGCCACACGACCGTGGCGGTCAATATCAGTTGCTGTACGAAGACCACTTGCAACGCTTCTTGCCTGATCAAAACCCTCGCGACAAATTCGACAGAACTCGCCTTCATTGCTAAAAGCGGCATCCTGCCATGTGTTGTACATCGACTGACTGAACATGCACGGCTCTGGTTCGACCCACACGGCGTTGACGCCGATCTCTCGATACCACGTTACCTGCCACAACTCCAACTCTTCCGTCTCCCGGAGCCCCTTAAATCGAATTCGCCAGTAGGCCGAGTTGACCTGCACCGCCCACGAAAGTGAATTGACAAGTTGGGTAAACTCCCGCTCCGCAATGGGAACGTAGTCCACGCCGTTTTCACTCGTCTCCACCACAATCCTTGTATGGCCTCCTTCTTCCTCCGCTGCCGTTCCTCCCGCAACGACGGCGGCCCCGGTTCCCGCCGCAGTCGCAGCACTATTACGTTTCCCACTCACTCCAGAACGTTTTGACGCTTTCGTGAGTGAGGGGAGAGAGGAAACCGTAGTTCGTCTAAGTTGTGTCGGAGAGTACGCTGCCGTCGAGGTGACGGAGCTAGGGACCGTCCGTCCCCCCAAGAAAACTTGCCGAAAACATGGCATTGTGTCAGTGTTAAACAACCACGTGACCGCGGTCAGTGTCTCGTGCTCCCTAGAGCGCAGCACCACAGTGTCGGTCCTATTTTCCGTCAGACGCTTAGGGGCCTGCACCTCAACAAACCCGTCTGCGATGACCTCCACCGACGCGAGATCGCCAAGTTGGGCAGAAACAAGCGTCGTTCCACTAAAGCTGTACCACTGAACGCACGCTGCCGCGGGAAGAGACGGCGACGCTGTCGTGGCCACTCCCTCACTCTCCCCCCCTGCGGGCCGCAAACGCCAATTGGAAGAACATCCCCGTGGCACCCATCCCTGACGCACCGTCTGTGAATGTGTCTTGTCAACGTTTTGGATGCTCACAACTTCCTCCCAGCTGGCACCATCAAGCGAGAGTTTCTCCACTACGTATTTGGAGTTGGGCGGCAAAACAGTTTGTAGCGCAACCATTTCTTTAAGTTCACCCCCAAGGTATAATTCAGAACTGCCGTATTCTCCATTCACCTTGTTGGAGGACTCCACGACACGATACAGCGTCGGCTTGGAAGTTTCAAAGCAGATGTCGCGCAACATAAGGAAGGCTGGTCCCGTGTGCTGCACAATGCGAAGACGCCAGAAGCGATAGTAATCGCCACAGTCCCATGCAGCCTGCGCTGAGCCATTGCGTAGCAGCAATGAAACATTGAGTGTTCGCCACTCCATGGTGTTTGAACTGCACTCAACGACAAATTTGGTGGATGTGCTCTGCTTTCTGTGGCTGACCAGGCGCACCCCGACGATGTGGAGAGGACCTTGTTTGCTCTCAAACACCACCGCCGTCCCGACATTCGCTGAGAAGATCATGGGCGAAACTTTGCATCCAGCGGAGTTCTTCTCCCACAGCAGCGATGAATCCCACCCATATCCGGCCGGTGTTGAATTTTCCAGCGCAAGGGAGGGACCAAGGTACTCAAAAAGGCAAAGGCTCTCGAACAACACATTGGGCTCCCATGTTTGCAGTTCGATGCGCCAGTACCGTCGAGGACCACGCGGCTTCCATAAGGCCTTAAATTGACAAAAGCGACTGCGCCACACCCCACATTTCTCCCAGTTGTCCCCATCGTCACTGCACCAGACGCTCCAGATGACAGTTACTAGGCCGCCCGCACATCGGCAGGCAAACGCCATCAAATTCGGCGAGTCCAACTCGCCGTAATCCAGAGTCATGTGGTGTGCTGCTGCGTTACGCTCCCTCGTGGACTCCTTTGCGGACTCAAACGCCACGGTTGTTTTCGCCTCCACAAATAAGGCGGAGACGGGTCTATTTAACGTCCCAGAGAGGGCAATTTTTTGCGCCGACCGCAAGTATGGTGAGCACGGCAACGTGAAGAACTCTATTGCCATATAGAGTACCAGTTGATGCTCCACACCCCGACCTGGACGCGCCTCTGTTGTTAAGCGCCAGAGTCGATGAGAGACATCTGCCACACTCGCCATTCCCCACATTGTGCGGCTGAGTGCAGAGGATTGCAGGTGATGACCAACCGTTTTCCACTCCACCCCATCATCACTATACTCAATGATCCAATCCTCCTCACAGGGCTCTGAACTGTGCATAGCGATTCCAGCCAGCAGAGGTGGTTCTTCCTTGAAATCAATGCAAATCACGGAATCGTACCGCCGCCGCCCCCAATTCAGGTACCAGGTAATAGGACTAAACAAGTCATACTGGCGTACCGGCATCGGTCCAACGCAGTTTGTCACCGAGCCATCGGTCACAGTATGAGCAGCCACGCGGTCCTCGCAAAAGACGTGGAAGCGTTTGGGCTCCTTTGGGAATGACAGAGCACAGAGCAGCGGTTTGCCATCAAATTCAGAGTGATACAAGTAGAGACATTTACTAAGAAGCATCGGACCCTCCACAACCTCGGAAGTGGTAATGCTCCAGCGCAGCACCTGTGGACTTCGTATGAGAAAAAACTCACCAGGGGAATCCCATATTTGAACAATGTCTTCAGTTTGGTCCAGGCTCCACGGCAATCCCTTGAAGAACGCGTCGGGTCTATTATTACTGCTGCTTTTTCTTCGGCGCCCAACTGCAAATTCCACAGCATAATATCCTTCTCATGAACGAGCGCCACAACATTCGGGTT